AATCGTTGTTTATGGCGAATGAAAGTGCCTTTAATTAACAATCATTATGAAAACAAAAATTATTAATGCTTCCAAATAATATATTTTCTATAGATCAGTCTCTAATTAGAGTTTTTATAAGGGATAATGAATAGAAACGGTAATCTATGAGAGGTAATTCATCAAAATTACGTGTAATTTATTCTAATGATATATTCAGTTATTTTAAGAGAAAAAAGTTTCGAAAGGCTGGTAACAATCAACTTTTGTACTTTTATCACGAAATACTTTTCAGTTTTGCATGTGTTTGGAAACCTTAAAAAATTTCATTTGCGTGTTTTCTCGAAAGTATAGATCATATAATTCAGTGTTATTAGAAATAAATTCACAAATATTTATTAAACTGAGTTTTAAGTATCATCATTATGTTCCCTTAGGTCTAGTAACTTCTTAGTTAATACTCAGGTGCTAATTTTCAAAATAATACACTGAAGTGCTATTGAATTAGAGATAGACATAATGCAAATTTTATATCGCTGCGCGGCATCTGTGCTCACGTGAGGAAGTTGTGGTAAATGCACATAGAATTAGTACTATGGTTGTTGTTAATCAGTCGTTTCAATTGCCAGTAGGGGTATGGGTAAAACTTCTCATTTAGACAGTTTCAATCTCGGACAGATAGTAGGCATTCGACACATGGGCCATTCAATTTCCAAAATCCTCAGCGGGCTAGGATTTTCAAGGTCAACAGTGTCAAGAGTATACCGAGAATACACGGATGGTGGGAAAAAGAACTAGCCATCGGGCAAATTGCAAAGGACAATTAACCTAGAACGAGCGTGGTATGAGACGGCTCAGCCGTGTTGTACATAGTCAAAGAAGCCAAAGATTAGCTCAGTTTACCAGCCAGCTGAATCAGGGCTACAGTCGTACAGTCAGTAAAAGGATCGTCCAACGCTCGCTTCACCATTATGAGCTTCGAAAGCCGTAGACCCACGAGAGTACCTTTGCTGAATGCATGCCATCGAGCTTGGTGGCTTAATCATGGTCTGGGATGTTTTCTCTTGGCACTGTTTGGGATCTTTGGTACTTGTACCAATCTCACTCAATATGATTCGGTTATTGGGCGATCGTCTCCATCCATTTATGTTGTCCTGTCATTCACACGAAAAAGGAGTATATCCCAGCGAGATAACTGAACCTCTCACCGGTCCCGGTTAGTTAATGCCTGGTTGGATTAGCGTTCTTCTTACTTCTCTGTCATAAATTGGTTACTTAGTAAATGCTGCTGTAAATTAGTTAAATTCTGCTTAGCATCTTTTGGAGGTTTTTTAGAAAGGTCTAAAACCTCATCACACAACACTAGCGACTATTCCTAAATTATAGACAGTTCTATACGAAATTTGGCAAGCCATTTCCGTAGAATGCTTCCAGAAACGTATTGAATTTATCTTCGTCGTTTGGCAGCCATTAATGGCCAGAGGAGGCCCAACTAGTTATTGACTAGCTATCCCTAATTCAGCGGCACTTCAGTGTATATAAATATGAATTTTAATTTAAATGCTTGTTACGCTCTTACACGTAAACGCGAGTTACTGACCAAAAATGACCACGTGGGTAGCCAATACGTTTGCTTACAGAGCATGTCACTGAACACTTTGGGATTCAGTTGCGTTCTCGAAAAGATATCCTTAAAACCTGTGCATGCAATGCTTTACCATTACGTCAAATACTACTCATTATTTATATTTATTACACATAGATGCTAATATAAAACATAAATATCAAAATATTTCAATATTACCAATATTTAAACAATAGAATGATTAATGTTATAACGTGCAATATATGCATTTTAAGTTTAAATACGAATATGCCATTAAGCTCAAGACTGCAAATCTTACTTCAAACCCTTTTGATTTTCCAGATTTTAACCTCGCTATCTCCCTATTTTTTCCCTTTAAATCCTCTGCTGTGCTAACCCCAACAACTTTATGTAGCATCCTTTTCTACTGATCAATCATTCTGAGAAAAAAATTCTTCGTGTAAGATTTAACCTATAGCTTTCTCTAAGCAACTTGTAGCTATATGCCCTTTTGCTCAGGTTGAATATAAAAATGTCTTTAGTGTGAACACCTTAAATCCCTTTTCTTTTAAAAAAGTATTAAATCACCTCTAGTTCTTTGTCTTTCAAGTGAGTATAGGTTCTGAGATTTTGACTTTTCTTCGTGCTACTCCTTCTTAATCCCTGGCTATCCTAGTTCCCCTTCTCCACTCCTTTCTTAGTAAATAAATTCTCTTTCGCATATAAAACGAAAATCCTGCACAGTACACGGCAGATATATTTTCACTAAATTTATGTAAATGCGCTCTTTAATCTTGTTAGTTACTTTTTGTATCAGTGAATTCTAAATTCCAGATAGAAATTTTATTCAATAATTTTCTAGTGATTTATTATAATGCAGAATTTTGTTTTGAATTATATTAAAATATGTATTATATGGGATGAATTTTATAATTTCTTTTGCCTTTTCTCTTGTATTTATATTTAAACAAAAATCCGAAATAAAATAGAAATTATCATCGTTTAAAGCAGAATTGTATTTGTAATTTTATGGGTTATGTTTATTATTCCTATGAAACCATGGATTTATATAACCGAGAAAAAAGTAAGAATATTTAGATGGTAAACCTGGCAAATATTTTAAGAGAATATCTTTTTTCCTCCAAATAATTTTGAGATTACGCGTTAATGCAAACTTAGTTGAAACATTTTCAGAATGCGTGAATATCTGTGAGCTGTGAGCATGGGAATTCAGTTTTAACGAAGAGCGGCGCCATTTCTGCATACGACTGTTTTCCTTTATTTAAAGGTGCAACAGTTTATTGTTTGGTGTTTGAGTTGTAGAGACATTAGGAAATTTTTTGAAGCAAAAGTCATCAAAAATGAGCAATATCCTCGCCGAGACTCGAGCCTAAACCTCTCGAATACGCGCCGAGTGTGCTACCGTTACACCACGAAGACATGTAGAAAGGGAAAGAAAATACCTTATACACTCCCCCTTTTAATAGGTGACTGAGAATTAGGGGACCCAATCGCCAAATCGTGGTGGTGAAGAAGCATCATTCACCACCTTTTAGCTCGGGCGCCACTGTAGTGACATTAGGTCATTTTGAAGCAGTAGATGTGAAAATGTGCAACGTCCTAGCCGTGACTGGAACATGGACCTCTCGAATACGCGCCAAGTGTGCTACAGCTACACCATGAAATGGTACAGAAAGGAGGGAGAAAATAACTTATAGTGTTTGTCTCTGTCTCTACAGTGACCATCAGCCGTCGAAAATTGCTTATGGCTTGACCAGTGCTTATATTGCAGCGGACGACCTTATGGAATGAGAGGTTTCGTGGTTCTCTTTTGTGTTACGTAATATTCCCCAAATCGTCCTCACAAAGGTAAAGGCATTTCTGTTAAATTTATCGTCGTCAACGCAGCTTTTCCGTTCCTCAGTAATTGACTATTCGTGGTTGAAGTCTGGTTTCGTTTCCAAGCGATGAAGGTTCTATGATGAATAAAGTGTCCACTCCTCATGCGTGATGCATGAGATATGCTCAGGCGAGCTACTGTGAATCTGCTTCGACATCGGTTCGGCAGCCCTCTAACGCACACGTAAAATTGTATTATGGAGGATGGATAGCTCTTGTAAACTTTGAATACATTTTTCTCTTGGCGATTTAAAAAAGGACTCTTGCTTTGGCGGAGCTTTCGTTCTTAACATACACGTTCTTTAGTTCTAGGTCTCTCAGGCAGATGTGCTTTGCTATGAGCTCAATAACCCAGTCTTCTGTAAATAAATAGCTAACTTATGATGAGATGGTTACTCTAATACCTAAATATTATGTTTTTTTATTTCGTACTTACCACGTAATAATGCGAATAGATGTTTCTTATAAATAATAAAATTGTGAAAATTAAGCATGAGAAATTGAACATATACAAAAGCTGGCAATTGTCACGCTATGTCAAATGCATAAACTGGGAAGGAATGCTATTCTGGAACTTCATGCTGTGATATCCTAAATTGTCTCAAACGTGAATGCTGAAATAAATATCACAATACTATGCAGTGCTACCTGAAAATCAGGATTAAAACTCTTTGTACATTATATTTATTTAACAGTCATAAATCAATGCCTAATGTAGTTTTCCATTATATAAATAATGAATATAGTATCACGATGTAGGAAACTATATATTAAGGACTACACATCTTTACATCTTAATTACTATCTTAAGCAAGCTTACGAATGGCTTAAGTTGCATCTGATTCTTTATAGAACCATAAATATTACAAGATTGAAGTCTTAAATCCGTTTATGCTTTTACCGTAGATGCACATTCACTGAACAATAGCTTATGATAAACTATCTTACTAATAACTAGAATAATGACTCCTTTTGACTAAATCCCTTTTGAGGAAACATAGTATTCTTCTAAGGAGACGTATAGCCGACATACTTATTCCTCTTTCCCTAAAAGATTAAGAAGCTTAAAAGAGCTTTACAGTAGCAATGGTTTTAATTTTTGTTCCAGGATCTTGGAGCGACATTAAAGAGAATTAAAAATCAACCACTCTGTTGTACAGAGTAAGTATATCTGCATACTAAGATATGTCTGAAAGGTAATTTCATTTTGAAAAAGGTTTCATGGATTTTTTTTTTTTACTTTTATGTTATATGGTTATTCGAAATTTATATTAAATGAAAATCTGATTTTGTGTCTTTCTCTTGCCAGATATACTGAACTGGAGGTTTTCTGAAACTTTCACCCAGTTGTGAATTATTAACAGCTTTACCTTATTATCTCTTACTTATGCAAAAGCACTATATAAACATTTATTTATTAACAATCCTTTTAACAAAAAAGCACTTTGGTAAAATCCATTTGAATATTTTCCAAGCAATAGTTTATAACCATTATTAAATAATTTCACATTAATATACGCAATGGAAGAGACCTTACCTGGCACTGAAATTCACCTTCATCCTGAAAATTTACATTCTTGATGTGAAGATTATAAATACCTTCCTCTTCTTTAACTACCATGGAATACCTTGGAAAGCCAGGAATTTTAGGATCGAAACCTGCCAATAAATACGGTATTATCACACACTGTTGAAACACTATAATGTGTTTAAATCTATGCATTTATCTATCTATAAATAGCTATGTGTGTATATTTATATATATTTATCTATTTAGCTATTCATCTATCTACCTATATACATATATAACATAATAAAATACATAAGATAAAATACCATTTAGATAGGTTAGATTAGGTTAGGTTATTTAATTACGACAAAGCCTCGAGGGCTATCTGCCTACGAGGAGGAATGTCTTCGTGGAGGACTTTCTAAAGGGAACTGGCTCGTATATACGTTACACATGAGGAAAACCACGAAAACACCCATGCAGCCAGCCCGTTCGCGGGATTCGAACCTCGGACCGAACTACCAGAAATACCATTTAGAAAAATAGTCGTTTTGGGAGTCGAATTATTTTTTAGGAATTTCAATAATTATTTTAATCCAGTATCTTTATAAGTCGTTTTGTGGAGAAAAGCGTTTCTTGGTGACTTAATTAATTTAAATGACCTTCCTATAGACTGGAGACTATTAGTTAAGCAGCTTTTACGACTTTTAAGCTTTATTGTTTAACTGATGGAACCATCTACCATCCACTACATTTATTAATGAGTTTTGAAAAATATACATGAATAATAATCACATAAAGTTGTAACATAGTAATTTTGTAACATAGTAATGGAATTTCGTAAAAGTAAAAATTAAATAAGAAATTAAAAATAATGACAATAGGAGAATTTTGAAAAATCAAAAGTCAAAGCGTCTTTAGTCTTTAGTCAAGAGTTAATAATAAAATATATATATAGAGTCTGAATTTGCAGTTTCTGATTTGAAGTTTCTGAAGTCTTTTAGTGTCAAATAAATGAAGTCTTTGATAATCATAATTCTTTACAGTATTGGAACTATGCACAGCTTGATGAGGAAGACGGTGAAGAAGAAGGACTGAGAAGATGGACGGACGTGATGTTATAGTCTAACAATAAGGTAGGTGGCAGTTGAAGATGATATATATATATGTATATATATATGATATACAAAATCGATGATGAGTTAGATGATAGATGGAAAAAGAGATGATAATGAGAATGGGTGACGAAGAAATGCTATGCAGGAAGATGATAAGAAGTGAAGTGCTATACAGATGATGAATGTGTTGATAAGTAACAATGATAGAAGACTGATAAAGATGGATGATGATGATAGATGATAATAGCTGATGATATGTACTGCATAATAATCAAGACGAAGAAGAAGAAGGACTGAGAAAATGGAGAAGAGTAGATAGATGACGATAGAAAATAATTGTTGACCGATAAAGTTGGAAGAAGACAAATGTTGACAGATGATGTTGAAAGTGTAGAGACATTAGGTATTTTTTGAAAGCAGGATTGGTAAAAAATGAGCAACGTCGTCTTCTGCGAGAATCGAACCACATACCTCTGGAATACGTGCCCAGCGTGCTGTCTACTACACTACGAAGGCAGGTGAAATACCTTATATACTCCCCCTTTTAAAAGGCGAGTGGGTTTTAGGGGACCCAATCGCCAAATCTTGGTGTGGAGAATCATCATCCCCCACCCTTTTAGTTCGGGCGCCACTTTAGAGACATTAGGTTAATTGGAAGCAGGAGAGTTGAAACATGAGTTCTTCCCTCGCCGGGAATCGAAACACGGACCTCTGGAATACGCCCGGCGTGCAGACCACTACACTAAAGGCACGCTAGGAAGGCGGGAGAAATACCTTAAATAAAGGAGTATGACGATAACTAATGTTTGTGAAAGAATTAAGTAGCTTTTAGACTATCACAATTAGTCGAAATATAGTTGATAACCTTCATATAGACTATAATCGGTATTTGAAAATTCATCCACTAACAGCTATGGAAAAACGATTAGATTAAGATTAGGTAATACCAACGTCATAAGAAAGGCATCATTTATCATTATCCAGTTTATTTGACTAAATTTCTATCCTTTGTTTGGTTCACTAAGCATAATTATTCAAAGTTTACCATTTTTTAAATAATATTTCGTTATTGTAAGTAATAAGATTCGCATTGTAAGTAATAAGATCGCCAATTTGACATTTTTTATGAATACGATTTTATTTGGAAGGTACTGAGAAAGTTTTACTATTCGTATTCAATATTTTAAAAATAATAAAAAAAAAAAAAAAAAAAAAAAAAAAAAAAAAAAAAAAAACTTATAAATTTAATGGTTCTAGTGAAAGCATTAGAATGAAGAAGGTGATTAATAATATGAATTTTTCTTATCCAGAGCCAATTAGTCTATAATTGATAAAAATATGTGAATCTGAAAAGAGATATAATAACAATTTGAAATGTGAAATTAAATGTAAAATGATGATAAATCTGATTTCATTAATATGAAATTGTATATGTATGTATGAATGCGGAAAAAGATACAATACGCCACAATAAAATCTAAATTTTCCTTCTTATTTAAAATCCACATAACAAAATAAAGAAATGAACATAATCAATAGGTTATTAGTAATAAGGAATTCAGCATAAAGAAGCCGTGGTTATGCCAATACTGAAAAAAATCTTTACGCCACATTAAAATTTTCATATGTTCTATTAATTTAAAATACATCAATACAAATAAAATAAATAAATAACAAACACAATCAGTAGGCAATGAAATAATATGTATTCCAAATCAGGCAACACATATATAGTTAATTACATTACGCCATCTAGCCAGTCCACTTAAGAAATTAATTTTCAGAAGTATTTTAACAAGATTAAAAGTTAGCATAGACTCATCAATAGCAAGCACCAGCCCACTTCCGTGCCTCTTCAGTATAATGAGAACTTTTTTTTGAAATAAATAATAAACAATATAATAAAAAAATTTTATTAATTGTGATTTTATGCCTGAAAAGTCATGGTGAAATTAAAGAAAAAGATATAAGCTGTTTGTTTCTAAATCTCAATCACCGTCCCTTTATTTTATAATGATTCTATGTATTCTGTACTTTAAAGCTTGACACATTTCCATAGCTAATATATTAAAAGCAAAATTTTATTCAAATATCGTAAAATCATGGTCCAAAGCTCGTCAGTTCCAAAAAAATTCTACCTAGTACAACATATTACAGTAGAGGAACTACCTTATTCTGTAATATGCTGCCACTGGTATTTCGAATTGCATAATATTTATAAAAAATCTAAAATAATTTATTATAAAACGCAGTAATAGGTTTTATCTTCCAACTAACACCTTTATAAAATGAAATAACAAATCCATGGAATTTTAAAAAAAATCATGCTTACAAGTTAAAGAAATAGTATCATTCGATACGAATTCATTTCACATAAAATTCAAAAACTCTCAAGGATTCCTTTATAATAAGTTTCTTGCTATCTGTCAGGGCCAAAATTTAAAAAAAAATATTTAAATGTAAAACCCATATCATTAACAATCATTGGAAAATCATATTCATTTGTTTTAAAAATATTCTGCAAAACTAACTTCCATCTCATCTCTGGAGGTACCAGGAAAAGAAAGAACAATAACAAATGGATTTCAAAAGATTTTCTCATGTTTATGAATTGTCAGTGATCCTAGATGCGAGAAACTCACATTATTAATTGTTTCTTTTAGATTTTATTCCCCGTATGAACCACTTTATTGCTTTGCATTGTGCACGTGAAGATACTAGTAATGCCTTACATTTTGCGCTTTTTTCCCTATGAACTCATACTCAAATACACATATGCATATAGTACCTAACTATCTCCTCACATGGACTCACCACGTTAATAACGTACGTAACCATGGGCTCTAAAATTCATTAAATGTCTTTATCCCATCATTGGAAAATATTCTTCACTAGATTTGAGTAAAAAAAAAACTCATTTATCTTTCTGTTATTAAGCCAATAATGACTTATGCTTCACCGCTATGGACGATAATTACTGATTAGGAACTTAATTAATTATATGTGGTGCAGAACAGATACCTGCGTATCATCACACATGTCCACTTTTTTCTGTAAGGAATAAGTGTATTCATTATGATCTCAAAGTAAAAACCCCTTGCGAAGTTCTTACATAAAATTAATAAGCAAGTGCTATCAGGACGCACAAGATTACAACATTATGAATCATTTTAATCTCTTCAGCTATGAAATTGTGGAAGAAGATCGGCACTTGCGCCCTTACACAGCTTTTACATTAAACGAAAAGTTATTACTACAACTCCACATTGTGTTAGCATTCTAAATCTTTTTCCTAATTTTTGTATAACTCTCTGCTATTTTAGCATGACATATACTTGCAAATATATTTGTAAATAGTGGTCTACTTTCTGGGGAAAATATGTATTTTACATTTTATGTACTATTTGCATACTTAGCAAGCTATAGATGCGGCGAAAGCGGCAACTGGAACTGGTATACAACTATCATATATATTTTAAATAGAAGAAAAGGTAATGAGAATTTACTGACATATTTTGATGCAGCAAATGAATATTTTAAAATTAAAATACACAAATGATCCATTATTAAGTGAAAAGTACTAATTAAAAAAATGAATAATGGATTTTCACTTAAACAATGCGAGGGAAATACTGCTTTTTAATTCATTTGAGGTGCACTTTTATTTTGCTAAAACGCCTAAGAAAGGAATCTTTATCATTAAATGATTATCCATACATTATGTTACATATATTCTACTGATATTTCCCATCTTGAAGTCGAACTACATTTACTTCTAAAGAAAATTTGTAACAATGTTTTTCTTATTTTTTTTATTTCATTTATTATCTTGAGATTCAGTTTTCAAAAGTATTTTCAACTATAACGCAAAAAACAATTAATTATTTTTAATGTAAATTTAACAAGATATTAGCTAGAAAGTATAGCTTTCTTCCTTCCAATAACATAATTTAATGCTTGTTATTATATTGCATTACATTTTAATGTAGAAACTCTTTGAGCATTATTATTTCACAAAGGAAAGCAAATTTTCTA